GGGGGCTGGCACAGAGAGACACCTTCTATGCACTTACCCTGCCCCAACTGTAGAACCTCTCGTAGGGCAATTGGGAAGGGGAAAAGAAGGACACCCCAAACCTGAGTGGAGAAGTCCCAGGGCCACCCTGACACTGCCCAAGAAGTGCCAGGCTCTTCCATCCAGGTGTGGAGCAGCCACAGAGACAGGTGGTGGCCATTCTGGGCACCTGCAGGAGGACATCATAAAGACAGTAGGTCCAGATGGAGCAAAGCTGGGCTTAGCTGCCAATTGTCCAGAGCAGAAGACTCCTGGGAGGAATGAATTGGTGAACTCCGGGCGCTGAATGAAGGCCTTAATGTCTCCCTCTCCTGTTGTCTGTGACATGGGATGCTGTCTCAGTATGCTCCCTTCTGCCACTGGTACAGCTGAAGCTGGAGAATAGTGGGTAAGGACCGGCAAGTAGCTAGTAGCCACTACTGGGAAAAGAGAGGCAGGTGAGGCTGTGGGCACCACTGCATGGTGATAGGAGAGAAGGACAGGAAAAGGGCACCAGGGCAGGGAAAGGTGGCATGTGCTCCCACCTGAGCTAGGCTGGCACAAAGTGAATTGAAATCCGTGATGGGGTGAGAGGATTCTGCCCATTCACTGCATCCCTCGTTCCTCAGACTCCCAGAATCTAGGACCAAGAGATCTGAAAGCTTGGGTCCCCCATCCCCATGTCCCTCGTCTCCTCCACCCAGACAGGATGCCTGATGGCACACGGAAGTCTTGGCTTTCGGTCCCAAGCCCTTCCCAAGGAAAAGGCAGGGCAAGGGCTGGAAGAGTATGGGATCTGGGCCCCTCCACATGCCAGCTCCTTTCTGGCTCTGCCTGATGGCAGTGGGATCCCAGGGGCCTGAGGGACCAATGTACATGAAAAGCCTGTGACTGGAGTTGGGACTTGGTAAAAATTGAAGGATTCATGTTGTCTGGGGTTGGAACTGAAAGAGGACGTGGGGATTGAGGTTGATTATTGAGTGTGAAGGTATCAGAGGCCCTGGTTCGTGAGGGCCACCTCAGATGCTTGCAGTTCTGGTCCTTATGACGCAGCCCCAGGCCTTATGATTCAGCCAACTCATCCAGCTCAGCTGTTTGCTAGAACTTTCACTTCCTCTTCTTCGGATCTGGCTCCTCAGCCACTTCAGAGCCCGCTGAGGTTGGGGGAAGGGGGAGTTCGCCACTCTGGGAGACTAAGGATGGGGGTACCCGGGGGACTTCCCCAGGGCACGACTGGGATGGTGAGGGAAGGCTGAGTTGCCACTGGGGAAGGGAAGGCACACTGGGAGGGTCTGGGGCAGAAGTGAGGGAGTGGGGAGGTGAGAGCAGGATTGAGAGGGAACCAGGAGGGTTCAGTTTCCACCTCTGAAGCACAGGAGAGGGAGGGAAACCAGAGAGGAAGAACAGAAGGAGAAAAGAAAACAGAAAGTGACAATGAAAACCAGTGACAGAGGCAGAGAAAGGGGTTGGGCAAGAGGCATGAGACAGCGCCACACTTGAGAAGAAGGAAGCAGACAACAAACAAAGACAGTAAAGACTAAGGGGAACAGAAAAAGAGTGGGAAAACATGCCACCAAAAAAATGACGGCAGGGGGAAAAACCAAGGCCGCTGGTGGGTGGAAGGAGGAAGGAAGGTCGAGGAGTGAAGGAGAGGGAAGAGGAGAAACCAGTAATGAGAACAACAAGCTGAAGAGCAAAGGTCAAGGTGAAACAGAAATCTGCAAGGACCAGTGGGAGGGCCCTGAGACTGTCACTGGACATCCTGGCTGCTGAGAGACTTCCCCCTGACCTTCAGCTGCCCGTTGACACAGGTGTGGGGTGGGATATGGGGATGTCTCAGCTTGGATCTCTGCTCCATGATGTTATACAAACCTTTTAAATCTCAGCCCACAGAAATGCAAAGACAAGAGTCACTGCAAGGGTTGGGGCCCAGGAGTTGGGGCTGGGGGACAACTGCAGAGTTGATGATGCAGGACCCCTGGGAAGCCTCCCTGGAGCTGAGGCTGCAGGAGGGAGCTGGGTTCACAACACTGGCATCAAAAAGGGCTCCTTGCTGCCATGGGTCCTCTGCTGGCATTCCCTTCTGTCAGGGAGGAGGGAAAGGAGACCAGAAGGGAGGCCACAAGGAAGCATGTACTACTGCCCTCCTCCAGCACCCCAAGGAAAAAGGTGGCTAGCTTTGGTCTTGCCCAGCCCAGCCCCTCTTGCTCTCCTACTTAAGCAGCTTTAGCTAATAGCATTAAGGAGGTCTCAGGGCTAACCATTTTCCAGTTGGGGCTTAGATCAAGGAAGAGACCAGAGGCTTCTAAAGAGATTGGGGATTTGATGGATGGGAGGGGGTACACAGTTTGTTCAAAGATAACAAGCATGAAATATTCCCTGGAGATAGCTAAGCTCTAAGGGGCTTATCTCCCCTCTAGCCTGGCTGGCTTCTCCACACTGATTTTAAGCACCCTCTGGACTCCCCACATTCCCCACTCCTCACACCCTCACCCCCCACACTCCCCACACCCCTGCCCCAAACTGTACTCTGAATATCCCCTGGTCCAGACTCTGGCTTGTTTCATTCTCTGATTCAGTCCTCGATGACTCTCGGCTGCCTTTGTGTTTATAAACAGTTCTGTTTTACCACTAAATCAATCAAGCAGTCACTGAGAAGACCTGGTTTGGCCACTGGATCACATTATTCAGTCAGTCTACACTGGTGGCTTAAAAGGCTGCAACAACAAAGTGACTTTCCGTAAAAGTCTCTGCTTTGCATATGGGCTACACGGGGCTGAGCATGCTGGCTTTCTAAACTCTGTGGTTCCTGTGTGTGCATGTTTCCATCTTCTTTGTATTGTCCTCTGTCCGTCTGGCTGCCTGTCCTCTGGTTTCCTTGGTTTTCTGCTGAAATTTTTTCTGGCCTACATCTGAGGTGTACACTGGAAAGCCTCCATCGGGATTCAGGGCCCACTGCCAGCCTCACCTCTCTACTCCCAAAGTTTCACTCTCAAACCTTCTGCCCTGATTGACTAATTAGAACCAACAGCCTAGAGTCAGACAGACCTGTTTCCATCCAGCTCCACCACTTGGCTAGGGTCTTATGCAAGTCTCTTAATCTTTTGAGCCTTAATTTCCTCACTTTGCAAAATGTAGCTCGTACCCACCTTGAAAGGCTATTGTGAAGAATCAATGAAATAACACAAAAAAAACCCTGGCACTTAATGTGGAGTGTAGAGCGGTGGCCCACCTCATATCAGCAAAAACTTTGAAAAGTCAGATGTACTTTGGATTGTTTTCTTTGGCTCCGAACTCCAGTTTAAGACTTGCTATCTATTGTTATCATCATCATCTATAGTGCCTTTATTAAATAATGACCTAAAACCTACATGTGTTGTAATGAATACTTTTATTGGCCAAGGGGATTAGCCTTATTAATAGTAATCTGAATGATGGTGATGATGATAGTAATAATTGTTTGCTGCCATAACCCTTCCAGAAACACAAAATGCCTTAGAGAAGCCACACTGATCATTTAAGATTGAATTATGATCCTTTTTGATTTATGATTCTCAGTTCTCAGCCCCCTCTAAGGCTATGAATAGAGCCAGCTGTGAGGCTGTAGGGGATAAAGAGGTTGTACAGAGCCAATTGGAGCCTCAGAGGCTGTGTATGGCTCACAGCCCTTCAGGGAATGAGTAGGGGCTTGGGGTTGGGGTAGGACACAGAACAGAGCACCTTCTGGCCTTGGGAGCTTGCATAGCCACTAAGTGTGCATAGAACACACAAGGAATTAGGGTTAAATGCCAAGAGCAGTTTACAGACATGCAGACAGACCAGAAGCCCCCCACAGTGAGCTCAAGGGGCTCAAGCAGAAAAGAAAGGACTTATGGATGGATGTTTGGCAAGATTTTTTCAACAGTGAGACTTTCCACACCCAGAACGCAGGCTTCTTAGACAGTAGAATCTCTAGGAGGTCTCACAAATGGGGAACGGAGGAAGCTAGTGTCAGGAGACCAGGAGATTTGACCCCATATGCTGACAGCACTTTGGTTTTTCTTTTGGGTGTTCTTTTTGGGGCTACCTAGGTGACTAAATCTTATAAATCTTGAGTCAGTGTCTTTCTACTCTTTCACTTAGTTGTGTAACCTTAAATTGTGCACTTCTGAGACTACCTGGAGGGAGATTTCAGTGCATTCAGTTTAATCCCTTAGAACTGTGCGGGGTACTGGGCATGTCTGGTCTGGTAAGTGGCAGGTGTTTATCATCTTCTTGCCAGATCCTGAATCTACTCTGAGATCTCTGAATCTCCACCCTGGAAGCACTATCAGATCCAGCAAGCAGCAGGAATTCTATCAGCTTCCTTCCAGGAACATTCCTGCATAGAAATCTCTGCACACACATTTCACAGCTGGATGTGTTCTGAAGCTGAGGCAGAGAACTCCCAAGTTAAGATTATACTAATAGCTAGGCAGAAAGGAGCATGAGAGAAGAGAAGGCGCTTCTGCTTCAGGACAGAGTAGAAGGAGTTTTTTGTTTTGTTTTGTTTTTGTACTGGGAATCCAACTTACAACCTGCTGCTTGCCAGGCAGCCACTTATGCCACTGAGCTAAATCCCTGGCCTGGGAGACAGTGAAGGGAAAGGAGGATTCCAGATGTTAGCTGTTAGTTTTCACTTCTTTTTTTTTTTTTTTTTTTCCTTTGTTTCTTTGTGGTGCTGTGGATAGAACTGAGGGCTAGCAGATAATGGTGGTTCGTGCCTACAAGCCTAGGACTTGGGAGGCTGAGGCAAGAGGTTCACTGAAAGTTTGAAGACAGCCTGGGCTACATAGTGAGTCCAGGGTCTCAAAAAACAAGAACCTAGGAGCTGGGGATTTAGCTCAGCGGCATAAGCGCCTGCGTTGCAAGCAGGCAGTTGTGAGTTCGATCCCTGGTACCGATAAAAAAAACGAAAAAGACAAAAAAAAAAAAAAAAAAAAAAAACAAGAACCTAGGGTCACAAGAAGACTAGGCAAGCATTGTAACCCTCCATCACTGAGCTACTCTCCACTCCAACTGTTGGTTTAGGAAATGCAAAGATGCATGGATCTACTCACTGCCCTGTTTAGTGTATTTTCCAGATATGCTCTCAGCCCAGCCCAAATAGGACTCCTGTCAGGTAGTCCATTGACCTTGAGACACTGAGCCAGACCCTGGTGAGCAGAGCCTTCAGCAAAAGGCCACATGACCTTTTGGTGCTTGGAGTGGGAAGGGTCAGGAGGATCCTACAACCTGAGGTAACTAGAATTCTTTAACTTTCTAATATCTATGGCTTCTCTTTGCTATAGCCCAGGGGTTCTTGCTATATAAAGTATGGCCCCAGAGAACAGCAGTACAGCAGCAACTTTAAGAGCTTCTTAGAAATTTAGAAATATCAGGTCCACACATTCCATCTGAATCAGAATCTGCATTTAAAGAGACTCTAGAATGATCATTATGCACATTAAATTTGAGAAACACAGCCATAGATGATTTTTGGTTTAGTTGGGTTTGGTTTTCTGAGACAAGTTCTCCCTGTCCAGTCCAGGCCACTCTTGAACTTGCTATGTAGCCCAGGCTGGCCTCAAATTCATGTTACTCTAGCCTCAGGCTCCCAAATCCTGGGATTACAGGTGTGCACCACCATGCCAAACTAATAGGTGATTTTTTTAAATGTGAGGTGGCCACTCCAGACACAGTGTTACATGTCCTCCAGATATAAAAGCCTACCAAATCCTGCTTAAGAATAGTGCTTTTCTCATGCCAGCTCCATCAGACAGGGTGATCTGAGCATGACCCCAGAATCCTGCTAACACATAACTCCTAAACACCCAAGAATCTCCTAGCCCAAGGGCAGCCCTATGTCCTGTTTTCTTGTGACAGCATCTCTTGTCCTCCCTCCATAATTTTTCTGCACATTTTTACAACCAAAAGTGAGCATGAAAAGCGGCTTTTCATACCTTCTTCCTCTCTTCCATTTGAAAGTTTACTCAGATGTTTTTTCTCCTCCTCCTATCTGCATCACGCAAGTCTATCATAGTGAAGCTCATTCCAACACCCTTCCCTTCCCTTCCCTCCCCAGGAGAGAAACACCAAGATTCCCTCCTCTCTGTCCCTGGCTCATTAACTGAACAAATACTTCCAAAGCACCTGTGGGTACAAGGCTGAGCCCTGCCCTGAGAATGGGGAAGTTTCCTAAGTTAGGTTTCCTTTTCTCCCTTGGACTTCGCTCTTTTTCCTTTCTGATCTGTATTTCTTCTCTTTCCCTTTCTCTTAAGTGACTATTTCACCCCAGGACTCAGCCTCAGCCCTCTTTTACATATACTGGACCATGTACTGTAGCTGCTTGGCCGAGGGCATCTCAGCTACACCTGGCAACTACTGGATCTCAGGTGAGCCTCTGTACCAGGTCCCCCATGCTCGTGCAGCTGCCATGGGTGGGGCCCTGGAGCATTGGGGCAGCCCTCATACTCCCTTCCCCATCCCAGGCTTGGCCTTCCCTGACTGGGCCTACAAACCTGAGTCCTCCCCAGGCTCCCGGCAGATTCAGCTGTGGCACTTCATCCTGGAGCTGCTGCAAAAGGAAGAGTTCCGCCATGTCATCGCCTGGCAGCAGGGAGAGTATGGGGAGTTTGTCATCAAGGATCCAGATGAGGTGGCCCGCCTCTGGGGCCGCAGGAAATGCAAACCACAGATGAATTATGACAAGCTCAGCCGGGCCCTCAGGTAAGACAAGCCGGCCAACACAGCCAGAGAAGGCAGAGTTCAAGGACAAGGACTGGTTCTGGCACCCCTGTCCGAGGCTTGGCAAATGTCGTTGCCCACAGGAAGATGCCTGGTATCCTCCAGGAACAGCTCTGGCTGGCCTTGCTGGCTCAGGAGGGCAACTCTGATTGATTTCTAACCTTGGTTCTCCAGGTATTACTACAACAAAAGGATCCTGCACAAGACCAAAGGCAAAAGGTTCACTTACAAGTTCAACTTCAGCAAGCTCATTGTAGTCAACTATCCTGCATGGGAGGTGCAGGCACCATCCTTCCCCTGCCTGCTGCTGGGGGCCCCTGCCCAGTGTCGACCAACTCTTGTGCCCATGGGTATGCAGAGTGAGGTAGGCATGAGGGTGACCCCTCCCCCCAGAGCCCCACCAGCACCTGTCTCTCTGCCTAGGAGGCCCCTAGCCCTCCTCTCCACCATGAGGACTCATCTTCCTCAGATCTCCTGGGTTCTAGTTCCTAAGTAACGCAGAGGAAGGGTGCTCAGCAATCTATCTGGGACAGCTCTCATCACTGAGCAAGGGCCATTTCAATACTAGGCATCCCTCTCTCAATAGTGGAACAGAAGGAAGTGTATATTTGTTTAACCAGGACATGATACAGGGTAGATGCCAGGGAGGAAAACAGATCCCACCCCACTCTCTCCTCAGCTCCTGCCCAGCATGCTGTTCACTCATCAGGCCATTGCAGAGCAGCTGGCCAGACAGCGGACCCCCCAGAAGTCCCCAGATGTCTCTGAGGAAAAGAAGGGGAGCAGCAGCAGTCACTACCGTGAGTGTCTAGGATATGGGGCACAGAAAATCTTCCTTTTCTTTTGTACAGGAAATTGAACTCATGATCTTGCACTTGCAAGACAGGTCCTGTGCTGCTGAGCTATATCACTAGCCAGGACAGAGAATCTTAAGGAAGGAGGAGGAGGCGCTCCTGACCTAGCCACATGGTCCAGCAGACTTGAAACAAGGGATAGTACACAAGTCATTTAGTCATTCAACCAACATTTATTGGCCATCAGTTATCTACAGTTATAGGGGCTCAGAGACAGAAGAGCCCTCAAGAAGCTCAGAGCTCAGAGCTCAGTGGGGAGCAGAGAGGAGAGACAGCCAGTGACCCAAATTGAGCCTTAAGTAAGCACTTAAGTCTGGGGAGGTGCAGAGGTGTTGGGGAGGTGCAGAGAAGTCAGGGCTTCCTGGAGGAAATGACACCTACACAGGTAAGAAAGTAGAGAAAGAGGCCCTGGCAGAGGGAATAGCTTGTGTAGAATAAAAAGCCATGAGTAAGCATAACTGGTCTGGCGGGTGCTGGCAGTTTGCTGGAGTCACAGTGAGACCTGTGGGGAGGGTTGGAACAAATGGGAGTTAGGAGAGAGGAAAGAGGGTGACACAGCAAACAGGTATTGTTTCCCCAAGGTCTCAGAAATCATTGTATGGGGATCAGACTTTGGCCCATGACCAAGAGGGACCTAAAATGGACCCAGGAGGAAGAGGCATGTTCAGATTTTCATTTTATAAAGATCATGGTAAGCCTCAACTCATGATGTTTTCATTTAGAATACTTGATTTTACAGAGGTGCAAAACAATCTGTATTCAATAGAAAGCACACTTGCAATTTTGCATTTTGATCTTTCCCTGTTCTTGGCAATACAAAGTACATTGTGAGCCACAATTCCTGATCCTCTACACAATCATGTGGATGATCTGTTACTATTTTCTACTGTACTGTGTACTAAGCTATGATATTTTTTTCCACCTTTTTTTTTTTTTTTTGTATATATTTTTATCGGTACCAGGGATCGAACTCATGACCGCCTGCTTGCAAGACAGGTGCTTATGCCGCTGAGCTAAATCCCCAGCCTGAAGCCACGATATTTTGTAGTTTGGGTATATTAAATATCTTTTTCAGTTGTTTGTTTTTGCAGTACTGGGGATGGAGCCTACATGTTAGGCAAGCTCTCTACCACTGAGCTATATCCTCGACCCCTTTTAAAATTTTATTTTAAGACAGGGTCTCTCTAAGTTGCTCAAGCCTGACCTAGAATGCTTGATCCTCCTACCTCAATCTCCCAAGTAGCTGGAATTATAGATATGTGCCACTATACCAAGTTTAAATGCATTTTTTACTTATGTTATTTTCAGCTTCCAATGGCTTTAGCAAGCACATAGCCCTGTTGTAAGCTCAGTAGTATTTATACTCGAGTTGAGTGTAGTTGGAATTAGAGGAGACACAAGCCTGGTATTGGAGGCTTTAGAAAATTATTTAGACTGGTGATGATTTAGACTGGTCCAGAACCAAACAAGGGTCCCAGAGGAAGAAGGAGGCTCAGCTGGAGTGAGATGGGGAAAACAAAGTTTGTTCTTTTATTTGTTTACTTATTCATTTCTTTCACTGGATGTTTAATAGCCCCCTGTTTAATGTGCCTGTTTAAGGCATTTTCCTTGGGACTGAGGGCACTACCCTGAGCAGGACTGCTTTTATAGTCTTGTAGGCAGACTTTCAGTTACTAACAGATCTGCACTTAGAAATGCACTCCTTGATATAGGGGAGAAATCGAGAGCATTGGGGAAGACTTCCTTGACAAAGTGACATTTGAGCTGAGGCCCAAAGTATACGTAGCTGAGCTCCGAGGGAGTGGGACAGGCCCTGGGACAGATAAAGGAGCCAGAAGAAGGCCAGCAGGGGATGGAATGGGAGAAGAGGATGGAAATGTAGGCAGATGCCAGTCAGCTCCTGCAGCAACACAATCAAATTTCCTATGGAAAAGATAACAGAGCCACTCCAAGACAAAGATCCAAGAATTCTCTTCATTCCAGCCAATTTATGGACTGAATACCCTTGGCCTCCACCTCAGGCTGCGTGCAGCTAGGGCCCAGACTCTGTGCCCCTGAACATGCAGCTGAGGCCCTGGGTGTTGGGCAGCCAGAGGAAGGCTGGGACTCACTGTGCCACCAGTATGGCAGCTGGGATCTGAACAGCACCTGCACAGCCCTCCCTTCCCCCAAACCCCTCCTGGCTCTGGGAGTGCCCTGGGCACCAACTGTGTGCTCCTCTCTGGGAAACCATGAAGAGAGAAAGTGCCCCTTCCAAGCCCCAGCTTGAAGTGGGTTCTGTCACACCTCCCTGTCCTCCTCAAAAGTGTGCTGGTGCACACACACACACACACACACACACACACACACACACACACACTGCCTATGCTCAAGCCCTAAGGGACACAAAGCAGGTTTATGGCACAAGATTAGCAACCCCTATACTCCCCCACATTTCCCCAGTTCTTCACTGGGCTTTCAGAACACTTACCCACCTCAATCCATCCTTACCCAAAGCAAGTGATGCCATACAGTAAGCTTCATAGGGCAGCAGCACGCAGAGACACACTGTGAGGGCAGAAGCAGCCCTGCGCCTGGTGCCTGTGAGACACAGCCTTTCTGGGAAACAGTGGCCCCACCTCATGTAAGGCCCACAGGGAGGGGACACTCCAGCAGAGGACCCACACTTTTCTTCTTGGAGGAGCACTTTTCTCACTTCCTGGATCCTATCTAACAACCTGCATGCATAAAGTCCTAACTTACCCAGTTGTACTCCCCAGTCCCCCCAACCCTGTGACCATATTAGGTTGATATTTGCTCTTTGAGTTAAATGATGTGGTCTCACTAAGAAAAATGTGGACTGAAGTTAGGATTCTGGAAGTGTGGAGCTCCAGCTAATCGGCTCCAGGGATCCAGGTGGGCAGCAGGTGAAAGGAGGCAGATTAGGAAGGAACGGGAGCAGGGAAGCGTCCTTGGAAGAAGTGCTGTGGTCAGTGCAAACAAAGTCAAAGCTCACTCCATATCTAGCCTGGGCCCTTCCCACTCGAGATGCTGTCTGATCTTAGCCAAGAGAGGGCCCTTTGTGACAAAGAAAGGCCTGCACATGTCAGGGACAAGCCCAAGGATACACAATCACTTCTTCACCCAGCTAGAATTAGAGCCTTTGCTCCAGGGGCAGGGAGTGAATTCCTTGAGTTAAGTGGATTCCTTGAGTTAGGGCAAAGGATATCCTTCATTCCTTCTCTCAACACTTTTTTTTTTTTTTCCTCCCAGTACTGGGGATTGAACCAAGGGCCTTCTCACTGAGCTACAATGAGAAGCTCTCTTTATTTTTTATTTTGAGACATGTTTTCACTAAGTCACTGAATTGCCTGGGCTGGGCTCAAATTCCTGGTCCTTCCAACTCAGTGTCCCAGAGCACCAGGATTATAGGCAAGTGCCACCACACCCAGATCAATATGCCTTTTTATTAAGCATTAAATTTGTTCCAAGGCAGGCTGCATTCAGGGGAGAATAAAGTAGAGCACAGACATTAGATGAACAGGCACAGGACAGACCGTGGGATCCTAGCTAAGTGCCCTGTGAACAGGTGCAGGGGACAGGACAGCAGGCAGCAGTACTTGCATCCAGACTGGAGTCTGGATCCAAGAAAGGACATTCCTGAGGAAGCTGAAGAAAAGCAAACCAGCCAGGAAGATGGGAAGAGACTTTTGGCAGGATATGGAAGGGAAGAAAGAGAGTACAGTCCCTCAGAGAGGGGCACCTCCTTACCCTTCTTCTTTCCTTCCCCAGGACTCGGCTCTGCCCCCAGTTCCTCCTGGCTGAGGACATGCTGCCATCTCGGGGGCCTCCAAACCCAGCTGCCCAGTTTCGCCTCCTTCGTCCCTGCCCTCTCACCTCTTCCCTCCCCCTGGGCCCGCGTGTCAGGGTCCTTGCTGCCTCCTCTTCCTGCAGAACAACAGCTCCTCCAAGCCCGCCACCCTGCTTCGAGTGCCTGGGTGTCCCCCAGGGCCCCAGCAAGCTCCAGGGCTCCCCTTGATGGCCAGGCTGGGACAAGGTATGGATGAGAGCCTTCTGGTGCCATTGCTCAGGTCTGGGGGGCTGGAGGGTAAGCCTGACCAATGGTTGGGGTAAAAGGGTATCTGGAACCCAGGGAGACCTTATGTCCAGAGGTTCAGACTGGAACTTGTGGAGAGCCCTGTGTCCCCCACCCTGGATCCTCCTTAGCTGGAGCAGAAGATGGAGGGGCCTCCAAACTCCATCCCCTCTTGCCCACGTCTTCTCTGGTTTTGCTGGACACAAGTTGAGAACTGCAAAAAGATGTGAAGAGGTGACTTACACCACTACAGAAAGGCACAAATGTGGGGGTGGGAAGAACTGAGGCAGGGTCACTCCTCTCCCACCAAATTGCTCATCAGACTAAGAAGTCTTGGTCTCTATTTTTTTTTGGAGAACGAGAGAGAGAAGATTAATAAGGTTTTCATCAACTGAACCATTCATCCTATACCTGCCCATGTCAGAAGGAAATCAAGTGCTTTGCTGGGGAGGGGCTACCCCCCAACTCCTTTTTTCTCCAGCTTATCTCACTGTCTAAGCTAACGTCACTGTCTCTCTGCCACTCCCCATACCTTCTCTTCCATCCTTTTGAAGCTCCAGTTATCTTCAGGAGCTTCCTTCTACCTCCTCTGCCCGAAGGAGGTGGGAGGAAGGGACTGCTTCCTGCCTCTCTAATACTCCCCACTGGCCAGGAATAAAATGCCCTTGGCAAACTACCCCCTTGGAGGTCTGATGGCCTCCCTCCCTCACTCCAGTAGGTCTCAACCACCCACCAATTGCCTGGAACACCTGTTTCTTATCCCAGACAAAACTAAATTCCACCCATGAGTCCTGCAGGAAGGGGCTGAGGGCTTCAGGGAGGGCCTAGGAAATGGGAAACAGCCAGGCTCCTCCTTGCCACCATCATCATGGGCTCTGAGAGATAAGGGCTGATGGAGCAGTGGCCCGGGAGCTCCTATAGATGAGAGAAATCAGCCTTTTGGAGAGTAAGGAGGCCACTAGAAGGGGTTCTTCTTCCTTTGACCTGCCCCTCACATCAGGGTCCTAAAAATAACAAACTAAACAGATCTGAAGCAGGTGAGTTGAGGGAGTGGGATATGTGAGAGGGGGGTCTATTGCTCCGTTAAGGATAAGTCAACAGAGGTGTTGCAGGAGCCAAGGCACTGAACCATACTGCCCTCCTTTCTCCGAGTGGCAAACCACTCTAGTCCTTTCTAGAAAGGAACACAAGGTCCCTCTGCTCATTCTTTGCCCCTGTCCTTCCAGTCTCTTCTCAGTGAAGGTTCCCTAGCCTTTACTTTTCACTTGTTTGTTTGTTTGTTTGTTTGTTTGTTTGTTTGTTTTGAGACAAGGTCTCACTATGTAGCCCAGACTGGTCTTGAAATTGCAGCATGCCTCATGCCTCAGTCTCCTGAGTTCTGGGATAACAGACATGTGCCACCACACCGGCCACCTTTGCTTTCTGCTGCTGCTCAGTCCTTCTTGTGGTAGACACACTGACAGGGGACTAGTAGACAAGGAAAGAGACAGAATGGGCTAGGAAGGCCTTGGCCCACAGGAAGATAGAGATGACCAAAAAACCCAGCCCCTGGTTTCCAAGCTGGGCCAAGGCCCAGGGAAAGGATCCATGAGAACTCATCTCAGCCCACATGCCAACAAGGACATCCCAGATTCTTTTCTGGTAGTTCCCATCAGTCTCCAAAGCCACAGGCCCATCCCCCACCTGTCAGGAAAGGTCAATCCCAGGGGCTTTTCTGTCACCCTGCTCACAAGGGGTGAGACCAAGAGCCAACACTGTGACCAGCACAAGGAAGTGGTGGTGCTGTCCTGGGGCTTGGGTCCTATTTAGAGGGGCCAGCCCCAAGGACAGGGTTTTCATAATGGGGACCCTGGTGTGCCCTCAGTCTGATACCACATCCTTTTCAGTGGTTTGTAGCTGTGATGCCTGTGATAAAAAGGCTTGGAGGTCACTAGTCTAAGATTTCCCTCCAGGGTAGGTGTGAACCTAGGCCATGAAAAACTCAGCCCAAAGAACTTATTTCCAAGTGATTGTCTCTTTGTTTCAGGTGACAGATTCAAACACAGCAGAATTACCCAACATCCTCAGAAGTGTAATTCATTATTGTCCTGTGCTTTCCTGAATTTCAACAGCCTCTGGGGCTCTTTCCCAATTGTCACAACCCAAAACGTTTCCAGACACCGTAAAATGTGACCTGGGAGAAGGAGGGGGGATCACCCTCAGTTGAAAACCATTTAAATTCAGAACGGCTTTGGCAAACCCTGATGTTATGCAAAGAGGAACCCAGCTTCTCCAGAGAGGTTTGGTGTCCAATTGCAAGAGTGCCCTCTGGAGGCCTGAGAGTGTCCCAACACTCAGCTCAGGAGCTGGCTGGGTGTAAAGAATCCACAGAGGCACTGTGTGGAGAGGAGGTAACAGGAGCCCCGGGAGAAAAGGAGTTGCACCATGCAGTTTATGAGAATTTTTCGTTTCAAACCTCCTTAGCAAATCCCAGACAACACCAAAGGGTCAACAAAAGACTAGGGGTTGTGGGTTCTGGCACAATCCAACCCACACAGCATGGCCTAGGGACAGCAAACATGGGTGCTCAGTCTCCTGTCTGGAGCAGAGAGGGCATGGACCAAGTAGCAGTCATGTCCTCAACACCACTTCTCAGACCTCAGTTCAGTTGTGCCAAAGATGCAGATCGACCAACTGACCACTCAAGGGCTTCAAGAATCCTAAGCAATCAGATCCTCCAGGCTGCATGAATCTTATTCTGTCAGGAGCCAGAAGGGATGTCTGAGATCAAGTTCAAAACCTCTAATTTTACAGGCCCAGAGAGAAGGAACTTGTTCCAAATCATACACATAGAAGAGCCAAATTTAGAATATAAATTTCCTAATTATCAGTTAATGTTCTTTCCATCTCACCATAATCACTCAGCTAGAAGATTTAAGAGGTACTTAAAATTCCTTAGAAATAAGAGTATATTATATGTAGACAGGGAAATTTAGAAGTTTTTTCCCCCCTTTTGGTACTGGGGATTGAACCTGGAACCTTCACACTGAGCTACAGCTCCTTTATATTTTTTATTTTGAGACAGGGTCTCTAAATTCTCAGGCTGGGCTTCAACTTGTGATCCTCCCACCTTGGCCTCCTCAGAAAACAAGGTTAACACTGCCCATCTTCTATGTGATTTTTAATGACCATCGCAGGAATCATTTTCTCTTTTGTGTACATTTTGGCACCTGACTACATACTGTCTGGTGCTGACCTCTGAATATTTCATGGGCATCAAAGTTGTGTGCCCACAAAGGTGGCATTCCCTGGTGAAAGGGAAGGTATTTGGTCCCTAGAATACTTGATTAACGAGTGAAAGAGGCCTAGAAAATCAAATGCTAAAGCAAAAACAAAATATTTGTTGTACAGAATTGCTGGCGGTGAAAAGAATCCCTACCCATTCTTCATTCCCTAATGAGAACCTGATCAGAGAGAAGGGAAATTCAAGCACCATGTGTTATGTATGAACAGTCATGTATCAGTTTTGCCATGGTTAGCATGCACTGCTTGGCAACACCAGCGCAGTGTGAATATCATAGAGCATGGTGCAAGAAGCTAGAGGCAAAGCTAGTCACTGCCCACAGTCCTCGCGCCGATATGCATGACACGCTAAGCCGCTGCCAGAGATCTTACTGTACACTTTCTTTTGTAAATAGAATTCACTGAAGGAATATGGTATAATAAATATATGAACCAGTAACACATTCAGTTATCACCATGGCTCCGGGTACATTTTACATAGGTCTGTGCTGTACTGTACTTTTATATGATTGGGAAAACACAGGTCAGTATACACCAGCATTACCACAGATGCTAGAATAATGCCTGGCATCATATGTTACAGTGTGGTCACCAGGCAAGAGGACATTTCCAGCTACATGAATCTTAGGAAACCAACATCTTATGTGTGGCCCATTGTATTAACACTATTAAGTGGGATGGGGAGCGTATACATATACACACATATAGAAGCATACATATATAATCTAATCAACATTTATTAAATGCTTACTGTGTTTAAATGGGAACAATGCTGCCAGGTACCAAGGAGCACAATAAAATGATTAGGTCAAAAATCATGATATTTTAGCCAAATGAGATGGAATAAGGTTGAGGGCAGCCTGGGTAACTCAATAAGACCCTGTCTCAAAATACAATCAAATAAAATGTAAAAGTTTAGAGACATAGCTCAATGATAGAGTGCCTAGCATGCATGAGCCCCTGAGTTTAATTCCCAATATTGCAAAGAAAAAAAAGACATTTTAATGACCTTAGATACATATCACTCAACTGTCCTCCAAAAGCAAAATTTTATTTACTTATTTGTTCTGATACTGGGATTGAACCCAACGCTTTTACACTGAGGTAAATCTCCAGCCTTTTTTGTTTTTTATTTTGAGACAGGGTCTTCTTAAATTACCCAAGCTGATCTTGAACTTGCGATCCTCCTGCTTCAGCCTCACAGTGTGCTATGATTATGCCTGGCTTCTATGATTTGAAAAATTGCATTGATACACAAGGCATGTCCTAAGTGCTTCATCTGTTCAACAGCTTTAGGAGGTGGCACTGTTATCATCCTACATGGGGCATTGGACATAAGGGCATTGGGGCACAGAGAGGTAAAACTCAAGGCGATACTCCCAGCAGACAGAACCTGGGATCAGACATGAGCAGTCTGTCACCACCATCTCTGCCCAGGTGCTGGCTTGTGATGTCAACTCAAAACACAATGTTCTTCCAGGGCCACAGCAGTTATAGCCTTTCCCTGCCTTTGATCACTTTTATTTATAAGAGTAAACTATTAAACCATTACTATTTTGGGGTGCGTTTTAAAATAGATGGTAAAAGAAACAAATACTTTGCATCAGCTTGCTATTTATAAATTGGATTCTCCTTTATTAAAAACTAGGAGCAATGGTATCTCACTAACACAACATTGAAAAGCAATTTTAAATTTATGGTATGGCCAGGTGAGCATGGAGGGAGGAAATAGAGGAGTGAGCTCTTTAGACTTGAAGAAAACATTCTAGGTACAAAGCTGGGCATTACTTACATCATTTCATGCTAAAAAGCTAAATGGCTGGACATGGTGGAACCTGTCTATAATCCAGGCTATGGAAGGAGGACCACTGAGTTCAAGGCCATCCTGG